AAATACACTACTTTTTTGAACGTTTTTTCAAATTTAAACACCAATTACAGCCAAACGCATGAAACCACGACAATATATGAATACTCGCTACAATCCCCAATCATTCAGCTTTCATATGCATATGGATCCATTCTATCTTTTATAGGTTTCGAGAAAATCAATGAAATGTGAAAACACTGCTTTTTCTAACGTTTTTTCAAATTTAAACACCAATTACAGCCAAACGCATGAAACCACAACAATATATGAATACTCGCTACAATCCCCAATAATTCAGCTTTCATATGCACCTTTAGGATCCATTCTACCTTTTATATGTTTCGAGAAAATCAATGAAATGTGAAAACACTGCTTTTTTTAACGTTTTTTTCAAATTTATACACCAATTACAGCCAAACGCATGAAACGACAATAATATGTGAATACTCGCTACAATCCCCAATCATTCAGCTTTCATATGCACCTTTTGGGTCCATTATATCTTTTATAGGTTTCGAGAAAATCATTAAAATGTGAAAACACTGCTTTTTTGAACGTTTTTTCAAATTTATATACCATTTATATGTTGAAATCATAAAACTCCGATTTTGTCCCATCAAAATTTTCTTAACAATTATTAAACTAAATGAAAAAGGAACTGAAAATAATAATTTTCTTCTTCAAACTCAAAGTATATGTGAAAATTTTAATTAAAAGGTGAATACGTAATATTTGCTGAAGCATAAATCTCAAAGAAAAAAAAACATTTGAATAATTTCGCATGAAATATGCGAGCAATGCAAATATTTAAAACATTCGCAGGGTTGATTGGTAAACTTTTCCGTGGATCAAATGCAAATACTACCGAATCATAGATTCCCTCGGGAATAATACGTATTTTCCACATGAAAATTCTGTATATAAAGTCGGAAAACCGAGGAAATTTCTACACAGTCCATCCAAACATCTCCAATGGCTTTGTTCAAGTAAGTAACAACTGTTAATGTTATATTTGTTTTTGTAAAAGTGATTAATTTATTAGGAAGATGATCTTAGTCGTCGTGGTTCTGTTCTTTGCGGCAGCCGAAGCCCAATATACTTATTCTAAGAAACCTTGCAAACAACTTGAGAAAGGTAAAATAAAATTATTAATATTTGTATTCTTTTTTGTATTGTAATGTATTTTTAGAAAGATTCTTGTTCGGACAATGAGAAAATATCGTTTATTGAGCAAAGGAAATGAATTGGGACGACTTTAAATGTCTTTAATGTATACTTTAATAAATGTTTAATCCACTTTAAACAATCGTTTTTATGTTACATTTCCTATTCTAATTCTTATTTTTTTTTTCCTTTAATATTGTCTTAACATGTAGACTTCATTCAAATAAATTTTCTATTTTTAACTGTTTCCGAAAAATTATTTAATTATCAAAATTAATTTTTGGCAATTTTAAAAGTCCAATTATGAAAACTTTAAATAAATTTGGTACATTTTTGTTCATCTAATTTCATTTTCAAAATTATTCTTTTCTTAACTTAACATAATCTAAACTAATTTAGAATCAATACTAAATCCAATATCACGTACAAAGTATTACAAATTAACATATGAATGAGTGTTCTTTTTTTTATTTATTGATTAAACTATAACTTTTCATTTCAAAATTCATTTTTGTAACAATGTCTACATAAGAAGTCTACATAATTTTATAAAAACATTCTTATATACTTTCCAATTTGCAGAAGAATACTGCAATATGTGTTAGTTAAGTTGTATAGGTTAAATTATTTAAATTTAGTTTTTACAGTTTATTTATTTACATACAAATTTTCTTCATATTTTTATGGGGTAATTAAGTTAAAAAAGTAATATTTTTATTGTAATTTCCAAGTGTATTTATAATTAAGTACTTATTTGAATGAAATATTAAATTAATTGAACGTATCAGCCCTAATTTCACCTGTTTTTTTTTTATAGTTATGACATAATATTTTAATATACACTTTCCAATTTGCACGAAAACTATGTAATATGCGTAAATTGGGTTGTATACGTTGTTTTATTTAAATTTTGTTTTTCCTGTTCATTTTCAAGTGGTTACTTAACACCTTTCCTGGTATCTGTACGTGATAATGGGACTGCAAATAAAGTAGTTATTTTATAAAACACATTTTATAGTTACATCATTGCCACTACACAAACCTATTGATAAATGCTAATGATTAAATAATGAAATTGAGGTTTTTTATGTGAAAATTTCAAGAAGTTTCAAATTTGTATATAAAAAAATACAAAAATCCAATTCCTAACCTAACCTTAAATTGAATTTTTAAACTTTGACGTTTGAGAATTTGCGTTAATCCAAATCTGATAATCATTGCTTTTGAATGTTTATGTATTCTTTTTAAAGTAATGATTAAATAATGAAATTGAGGTTGTTTATATGAAAATTTGAACAAGTTTAAAATTTGTACATAAAAAATTACAAAAATCCAATTCATAATCTAACCTAACCTTAAATTGAATTGTTAAACTTTGACATTTGAGAATTTGCGTTAATCCAACTCTGATAATCATTGAAACATTGCTTTTCAATGTTTATATAATCTTTTAAACTAATGATTAAATAATAAAATTGAGGTTTTTATATAAAAATTTGAACAAGTTTAAAATTTGTACATAAAAAAATTACAAAAATCCAATTCATAACCTAACCTAACCTTAAATAGAATTGATAAACTTTGACGTTTCAGAATTTGCGTTAATCCAAATCTGATAATCATTGAAACGTTGCTTTTGAATATTTATGTATTCTTTTAAAGTAATGATTAAATAATAAAATTGAGGTTTTTTATATGAAAATTTCAAGAAGTTTAAAATTTTGTACATAAAAAATTACAAAAATCCAATTCATAACCTAACCTTAAATTGAATTGTTAAACTTTGACATTTGAGAATTTGCGTTTGCTTTTGAATGTTTATATAATCTTTTAAAGTAATGATTAAATAATGAAAATGAGGTTTTTTATATGAAAATTTCAAGAAGTTTAAAATTTGTACATAAAAAGTTACAAAAATAATAATTATTAAATTTTTTTATGTACACTAATTATGTAGTAATCTTATAAAAAGTTATGAAATAAACTAGTAACGATTTTATCAATTCGGTTGAGCAAATTTCTCGTATCGGAAAATGTGTATTGATTCAATCCAGATTGGAGATTCGCGTAATCGATATTTATCATAAGTACATTTACACCTCATTCCTTTTTTTTTCTGTAGTTTTTCTTCTCTTATACTCGCATGATTCATTATATTTATTATTGTGGTGTTAGTTTGTTTACTTCGCAGCTGGATAAACACTTCAGAGTTTGCGTAAGCCTTTCGGAGGGCGCCGCGACGTCCGGCGTCGTCGAAACGGTGGCGGTCGGCGCCTTGCATCATCATCATCATCATAGCCGCCGATGATCTATGATATTACCACGATGATGATGATGTTGATCATGCCAAGCCGACAACAGGTTGCCCCCCTTTTCGTGTTTCCTATTTCACCACCCGACGAACGCGCTGAAGCTTCTAGCTCAGTCGCGGTTCGTATTCCCAGCATAGAAGTAGACGCAAAAGATACCGTTTCCAGCGTCATCATCATCCAGTTGGATGAGTTTATGAGAATAAGTTCAGTTTTGCATCGAATCTGATTGTTTCCTCGTAATTTTTACCTGTGATGTTCTCCAATAAGCTTTGAATTCAAGTGAGTCTCCAACAATTTTCCATTTAAATTATTAATATTTTTTTTCAATTCAGTACAATAGTTGTGTAAAACTTTCAAAATTTGTTTATTTTTTTGTAAATTATAAAAAAAATGTATAATTTTTTCAATGAAAAAAAACTTAAAATTAGAAATTTGTATTATTCAACGTTGTAAATTTTAAATGCAAATTGTACCTCAAAAATAAGAAAATTTGTAATTTTGCATACAAATTTAGATAAAATTATCGCTACAAATTCTATATAGTTTTCTACGTAAAAAAAGTGTATTTAAAAGAGTCGTTCAACATTACATTGAAAATATTTATGGTAGCATTGTTGTAGTTTTTCTATTTTCACTGATTTTCACTAGTTACGTGATCGCACAAAACGAAATTTGCTGCTCGCCGCAATTAAACGCTATTTGCATTCAGATAACGCATCCATTTTGATCTAGAATTACTGGCGCGCACACAGTTCGCAATAAAGATATTTTCCACATCTAATCTCGAACGGCAATAGAAGAAAACGCAATCGAAATAAAACTTAATTGGGTTTCAACAATATAAAAACTGTAGTGTTTATACTAGATTTTTTTTTAAATTATGTCTATATAAACGTTTTATTATGTTTGTTTATATAATCTATGTACTTAATGATTGTAATTATGAACACTAATTAGAAGATACTTCTCGATTTTTCTACCTAATTTTGGCTTTTTGCTTATAATTTAGGCCTTTCTACCCAATAACTAATACAAGAAAACCTCGCATAGTGCGGATTCGGATTCGATATAGTACGGTTTGAATTAGTCGTTTCTTCTCCATTTTCATACTAATTGTATTTAACTTATTTACAAATTGTTTATTTGCTCTAATTCTGACTATAAACTTAGGTCTTTCTACCCAATAACTAATACAGCTATACCTCACATAGTGCGAATTCGGATTCGATATAGTACGGTTTGAATTAGGTGTTTTTATCTCGCTTTTAGTACTGCTTTTAAACATTGTATTTATTTTTTTCATTTGTCCTAATTTTGCCTATAAACTTAGACTTTTCTACCCAATAACTAATACAGCTATACCTCGCATAGTACGGACTAGGTTCAATGTAGTACGGTTTGAATTAGTTTCTCGATTTTAGTACTAATTGTATTTAATTAATTTACAAATTTTTCATTTGTCTTAATTTTGTATATAAACTTAGACTTTTATAGTCAATAATTAATACTTTCAAACCTCGCATAGTGCGGATTCGGATTCAATATAGTACGGTTTGAATTAGTCGATTCTTCTTGCTTTTAATACTAAATCAGTTTTTCTAATGTTGGCTATAAACATAAGCCATTATACCCAATAACTAATACAAATATACTTCGCATAGTGCGGATTCAGATTGATTATAATATGGTTAGAATTAGTAGTTTCTTCTCGCTTTTAGTACTGATTTAAACATTTTACTTACAAATTTTTTATTTGCCCTAATAATAACTATAAACTTGGTCCTTTCCACACAATAACTGATACAGCTATACCTCGCATAGTGCGGCTTTGGAAACACAATAGTACAGTATGAAAATTTTAAAATAAACTAAATTTTATTTGAGCAAAAAATGTAAGCTTTAATAACTAGTATTTATTTGATAAATATTTAATTTAATAAAATATGATTTGTTGACATAAAATATGATTCAATACTTCCGGTCGCAGATAAAAACAAACAAAAGATTGAACAATTATACAACGTCAGCTGATGCAAAGTTTATAAATAAATAAGTTCGTAATTTGTAGCTACGTGCATATTTTCTGTGCATGGAAAAGTTTCTCTGATTTTCGCACTTTCCGCGATTTTGCTTATCTGCAATTGTCGTAACAGTGGCGTTCGGTGAAAAATACATAAATCTATTGCGTACAGTAATAATAGTTTATGTTTACTTTCTTTAACATTTTTTTGTATTCAAAATTTTAAAGTTTTATAAAATATTTATTTGCCTTTTATTATTATGTCTTTGTCTGTATTTATTATAATAGTTCATTACTGGAAAAACGATAGCATTTGTTGTTTAACCTTGCGTATGAATCCCTAATGAGGCGCTACTCAATAATCTACTCTTAATAACTTTATAAACAAACTGATTTAAAAATTATTTTTTTATTTGTTCTAAGTTATATCTTAAATAATTAATTTTTTGTAGATGAAGACGTGAAAACTAATATTTTTTAGTGATATATCCTTTTTGTCGCAATATTCAACATATCTGTTTGTAGTTGTACAACTTTGACAGCTGTCAGCTGTCATTTTCTTAGTAATATCTCAATTAATTAGTATTAATTCATTCTTTGTAAATAAAGACATGAAAAGAAATATTCTTTATTCTATCATTTCTAACCTCCTTTTTGTTGGGATATTCAACATATCTATTTGTAGTTGTAAAACTTTGACAGCTGTCATTTTCTAAGTAATATCTCAATTAATTAGTATCAATTCATTATTTGTAAATGAAGACATGAAAAGAAATATTCTTTATTGTATCATTTCTAAACTCCTTTTTGTCGCGATATTCAACATATCTGTTTGTAGTTGTACAACTTTGACAGCTGTCAGCTGTCATTTTCTAAGTAATATCTCAATTATTTAGTATAATATCAATTATTTATTTGTAAATGAAGACATTGAAATAAATATGTTTTATTCTAGCGTTTCTAATCTCCTTTTTGTCGCAATATCCAACTTATCTGTTCGTAGTTGTACAACTGTCACCTTGTCAGCTGTCATTTCGAAACCGATTAAAAATTTGACACCTATAGTTTGAGAACCGCAACTCTAGTCTAATTACAGATTAAACTAAATGTAGTTAAATGATGTTACATAACTTTTTATAATAGATTTTCAATTTCTTATAGTAAATTAGTCTTTGAAAAGTAAAAAAGTCTAATTAAGATTACTATTATATAAGATTTTTTAAAGTAGTTTAATTAATAAATTTGTCCTTAATTTTACATTGATAAAAATAATGGAAGCAATATAAAATTTCACTATTTTTCATTGTAATTGCATAAATTTATTATTAAACATATTTTCGAATTTATAAATTTCTTCTACATTTAACATTCGGTTTAAATGTAAGACGAAATGCAATAATCCAAGTTATTTTTCTGTTTTCACAGAAAATGTGAACCAGAACCAGTATATACTAAATTACGTACGCAATATGAATGCTCTTCGTTTACGATCCTGACTGTCTGGGTCGAGGATCGATTTTATTCTTCGCTTATTCTCGCTTGTTTGTACTTAGGAATTTAATACTCACTCATATACTACAACCCAACAATGGGAATCCAGAAATTTTTTCGCTGCGAAAACAACAAAGTTTTCTATATAAAATATATCAGCTTTCTTTATAAATTTAATAAAAAAAAAAAACAAATAGATTTAACTTTTAGTTTACGGTTTCATAAACATTCATTCATTTGAAATCATAATTTTAAGAGAATTTTGTATCAAATTTAAGGTTTTATTAACGAAAATTTAGATGAAAAATTTAATGGAAATAATTATAGAAAAATTACAACAATTTTGATTAAGATCTAAATCTGTGAAATCAACAATGTTTTCTATATGAAAAATATCAGCTTTCTTGTCTTTAAATTTAATTAAAAAATGAATAAAAAGAATTTAGATTTAACTTTACAGTTTCATTAACAAATTATTACGTTTTTAACGAATTTTCTATCAAATTCAAGGTTTTATTAACGAAAATTACTAAAGGAAATTTAAATGAAAGAGTTAATAACTTTATTCCTCTGCATTGCGGTTTATTACAGTACAAAGGTTCTTTTCAAGAAGAATTGTCCTAACTTATTGATTTTTAATTCCTTAATCCGTAACAAATACGGACAAATAAATAAAACACAAATACTACTTATGGGTCAAAATGACCCGTTTATTAAATATTTAAGAAAAAATAGAACAAATTATTAATTTTTAGAACAAATACACATTAATACTTAGTATTTAATAAATTTAACATCATTTAATACTGATTTTATTGCTCAAAACAATCTGGACAAGTACAACAAATAGATTTTCTGTTTATGTCGAAATATTGATGATATTTCAGTGTTTGCTACTGAAAAGTGCACTAGAAAATACTAGAATCAGATCAACCACTTACAATAGAATGGGAATGAAAAGAAATATCAGGGGGGTCACTCTGACCCATCCGTGGTAATTATGGGTTAAAGAATCAAACAACTAAATGTGCATTATTTCATAATACCAAATAGATTGAGTTACATTCAAAAATTCAAGGTTTTTCGTACACAACAAAAACTACTTAAAGTAATTATATCCTAGTGAATTAACAGCTTCGAACCTACCTCTAAACTAGTGACGTAAGACTATAATCATAACCAAAAAAAAACACACGCACGTTTCTCGGAATTTATTACACCATCAATAGACGTTCTAATTGAAGATCCGAACTCTCCCACATCTAATTTTAGCACAAGTTCGAGATGTGTTCAATCATAATTTCTCACTGAAAAAAAAAAACGAAATTTTCAAGTGGATTTTCATATTGGAAATGCACCAGATTTTACAATAATAATAATAATAATCTGTACTGCACTTCGTTGCTGCGACCTTCGCAAAAATATATACATTTTGTTTTGTGTGGAAATAAAATCGCAAATAGTTTCGTTCCGTATTAATGCGTTATGGAATGAGCGAGGCGTGTTGTTTTGTTGTTTATGTTGTTCAGAAGACCTCGATGAAAGCAGATGTAGTTTTTCAATTGAATGTATCTCTGCATCAATTGGTCTATGCTCCAGATAGGAAATCGAATTAAATCTAGACGCGTTGCCAACTGGCGTCGACCGAATTTATTTTAATTGTCGCCTATTAAAGAATGCAAACCCTTTTTTTTGCTATTCGTCGTCGTTGTTTGTTCACATGAATGCAACTGGGTCATCATCATCATCATTATTAATGCAGATGTGAATCATCGCGGCGAGAAAATTTAAACGACACGGAAAATGCATTTGACATTTGACATTGAATGTTATTACATCAATAATTATCGTTTAACATTGTTATTTCTCTTTATACCTAAGCAAATAAACATTCGTTGTTACCAACTTCAATAACAGATGAAATGTGTAAAATTTAATATTTCATCAACAATTTTTATATTATATTTTGCACGCACGAAATTAATTTATTAATTATTAAAGGTAATTAAGAATTACAATGGAAATAGAAACGTCAATATGACAGTTGACAGTTGAATTTTACCGGAAACGTCATTGTGACATCTATCAAAAACAATATATATATAATCAACATATTTGACAGATGTCAAAATACTGTAAACGATGGGTTATTTCATACAAAGGTAATTATGATAATTCAAGTTATAGAAACGTCAATATGTCACTTTAATGACAGTTGAAATATGCGTGATTCTAACAAATGTTTACAGATCTTTAAATATATAATTAGGTAAATTTTAATAGTAACTGATACAAATTCTAAACTTGAAACGTTCATTATGACATGAAACAATTATCTGTCAAAAATAAAAGATATGTATCCAACTTCTTTGACAGATGAAATGAGCACTATTGGATATTTACAAAAAAAAGTGACAGCAACTGTCAAAATAATCTAATGTGAACGTTTGGCTTTTTCTTAAAAAGGTAATTATAATAATACTAGAAATAGAAACGTCAATATGTCATTTTAATGACAGTTGAAATATGCGTGATTAAACGTTTCATAACAAATATTTACACATCTATAAATATATAATTAGGTAAATTTTAATAGTAACTGATACAAAATCTAAACTTGAAACGTTCATTATGACATGAAACAATTATCTATCAAAAAACAAAAAATATATATTCAACTACTTTGGCAGATGAAATGAACACTATTGGATATTTACAACAAAGTGACAGAAACTGTCAAAATAATCTAATGTGAACGTTTGGCTTTTTCTTAAAAAGGTAATTATAATAATACTAGAAATAGAAACGTCAAAATGTCATTTTAATGACAGTAGAAATATGCGTGATTAAACGTTTCATAACAAATATTTACACATCTATAAATATATAATTAGGTAAATTTTAATAGTAACTGATACAAAATCTAAACTTGAAACGTTCATTATGACATGAAATGTCAAAAATAAAAGATATGTATTCAACTTCTTTGACAGATGAAATGAGCACTATTTGATATTTACAAAAAAGTGACAGCAACTGTCAAAATATTCTAATGTGAACGATTGGCTATTTCATACAAAGGTAATTATAATAATACTAGAAATAGAAACGTCAAAATGTCATTTTAATGACAGTTGAAATATGCGTGATTAAACGTTTCATAACAAATATTTACACATCTATAAATATATAATT